CAATCACAAAGTCGGAAAACGGAGAGGTAACTAAACTAATCCATTAATACAAGATAATAGTTGGATTCTCATTGCGCATAAAAGCAGGAGTCATCGTTTCATATAGAAATAAAGACTCGTTTTTCAAACTTTCTAATGCCTCTTTTCCTAAGCAACTTTTCTCAGAATATACTGTCTAAAGTAGTAATATGTAATATCAATCCATTAAACAGTGAGAATACGAGCCCAGTGATCACAATATTTGTTGGTCAACTTGTACCTCAAACGCAAGGATTTTATAAAAAATAATCCGTTGGATGCCGTACAAGTGGCTAACTAGTAAGATGCTGAGTTTCATTTCGTGATTTGAAAGTTTGATGTCATTAACTGAAACTGAAAGCCTCTATAGTACTGCATGGTCTCAGCTAGTTTCCATTAATCTTAATCGATGATACGATTAAATCAAAACCATCTAAATATCTATTAATAAATTATTATTAAAATCTGCCGAAAATGTCAAGATTCCTCAGATGGACTGTGTACTTTATTAGCCGAGAGAAGTTTTATTTCCTCATCAAGTAAATCCATTCATTAGATCAAGGATCATTATCGAAGCAAGAACTTCCCAGTAATATTGTATCCTACTCACTCAAAAGATCAAAACCTTTTCCCTCATGTTGCTCTTCAACGATTTCACTACTCAGGACCATCCAAATAAAGCGTTAATTATTGGATAAAGAGATGTTAACATATTTTATTCTAAAAATTCTAAGGATTTTTTGAAAGTCCCAAAACCCCTGGGAATTAATAGATGTAAATACAGGTAGCTTTTTTAGTTTTTACAAAAATTTTCTTAGTTACTGTATTTCATCAGTCAGTTAAAATGATTTTAAAACTAATATTAGTAACTACTTAAATAATTTAGTCATCATCAGAAGCCAACGATGAAATACTTGGGAAATTAACAAATCAGGAAAAAAGTTAACTTTCAGATGTGGAGTATCAGAAGGGGAGAGATGAAAACTTATCAACACCTGTTAGTAACAGTATTATAAATTGTATTCGTCACTCTACATGAATGATGATAACGAGTAAACTTTTGAAACCAGTCTTTTTAACGAAGGGGTATCATTTGTGTTTGATAAAAATAGATTTCAAAATAAACACATTAAACACCAAATGCACTGAAAAAAAATTATTAACCACACATCTAAAACTCAAATAGAATACCACCAATACTTTTTTTGTCAAACATAAATAGATCAACTTGAAACATGTCACATAAGTGAAAATTCTATATAAACCTCCATAGCTGATAGATGATTAATTTCTGGATATAGAATGGACTGCTTCAGTGAAGGTTAATAGTTCATGATGATCTACTCTATACTAAATAAGTCTAACAAGTAACAGAATAGAACCGTAACATCTGTTCTCAAATATATAGCAGACTGAATAAATTCAACTTCTGGCTAATCATTTCATACTCTCTACTAAATCTAATAATATCTTCCTGATTATATTCAGGGAAACATAATTTATCTTTATGCATTAGTTTTTTTATCCTATACCATATTAAACCTAAATTATCCCTGGATAAGTAATGTTTAAATTCATTTAATCAAATTAACCTGAAATATAGTATCTCTTATTTTTACCATATTTACAAGAATATTTTCATCGTATATTATTATTTCTAATGGTTAAGATCATGAGTCACTTAAAATTAGACCACCATGGAAAACTTGGAAGCACTGGACCGCCGTTTTATCCTGTTATGGGACTCCTCAGCAGTACGTATCCACGACCTCACCACCTGCGAAACTAAAACCCAGGACCTACTGGTTTCGCATACGAGCACTTAACCACTAGGCCACTGAGCCGGCCTGCATCCAACGGTGTTAGTGTCTAACTTCAACTAATCCACGAAATTGAGCGACACATCAACCATTTTCTTCAGTGAGTTACTATTTCAGAACAGACCAGGTTGAACTCTACTAGTCACTACTTCTCACTAGAACTCCACGATATACCTCTTGAAGCCAGTCACTAGTGAGTATATATTGAGTAATATCAGAAGGGGTTTTGTGGATATGATAGTAATTTCAATGACTAGAATCATGAGTCAGTTGAAGTTAGACCACTATGGAAAACCTAGAAGCACTGGGCGAGCGTTTTGTCCTATTGTGGGACTTCTCAGCAGTACACAACCACGACCCCATCTCGCAAGATTCGAATTGACTCATGATCTTAATAATAATATAATATCCACAAAACCCCTCCTGATATTATTATTTTGTTTATTATTTGTAAATATTTTAACGTCCTATTTGAAAATAAAACAAAAAATTTTATAATTTAAAGTGTACACTTAATATAAAAAAGGAATAAAATCAGAGATTATTGATCAACTTAATCGTTCGTTATTGTCTAATCAAAGTAATTTTGAGTTAAGTATACACACACACACACACACGAAAAAAATCAGTGTTTTTTTGTTGTTGAAAATTCTCTTTTTTCTTTTTAATTTTACATTAAAACTTTCATAGTGATTGGCAACAAAAATTTTTCAATATTGATTAAGTTTGTAAATTTTAATTATGTATAGATATTTATATTTTTTTCTATTTATTATTAAAATCAATTTTTTTTTTTAGTTATGATTACTGAAATCATTTGACGAAATTTACAATCATGATTTTTGAAAACATGAAACTAATTATATTAAATTTATATAATTATTATTGTATATTAAGGACTGTTAAATACCTAAATAAAAACAATAATTTTAATAGTTAAGGTCATAAGTTAATTGAAAGTAGATTATCATGGGAAACCTAGAAGAACTGGATGGTCATTTCTTCCCATTATGGGACTTCTCAATTCAACCGGGTCTGTTGTGAGATAGTAATTCACTGAAGACAATGGTAGATATGTCGTTCAATTTCATGGATTTGTTTAAATTAGATATTAACACTGTTGGATGCCAGCTCAATGGTCTAGTGATTAAGCGCTCACGTACGAAACGGATAGGTCCTGAGTTCGAATCTCGCGAGGTGGGATCATGGTTGCGCCCGTCCAGTGTTTCTAGGCTTTCCATGGTGATCTAACTTCAACTGACTCATGATTCTAGTCATTGAAATTACTATTATATCCACAAAACCCCTTCTGATATTAGTCACCGTCTGATCTCAACATAGTGCACGCAGTGTCGAGTCACCTAGTCTGGTGGCCACATTGCAACATGGTCGATAGCATTCAATCTGCACTGATAAGGATTTGACACACATGACATTGATCACCACCCAGTGATCAATCAATTGTGATTACGTCTCAGTCCTATAGGAGGTTGATCACGACCCGGATAGCTCAGTGGTAACGTCTCTGACTGTGAACCTGGGTGACACGAGATCGAATCCGTCAGGGAGAACCAGTTCCTTCAAGATTACAAGTACATCTTGCTGAAGAGTGCCAAGTAGCTCACTGTCGACTACCTCCAACCATCATCTAATCGTATTTTATTTTTCTATAGACACATTTAATTCTGCTCATCACTCATTCAAATAACACACATATACTAACATTCCGACTCTTTCATATTCTAAATTTCATATTTCTCATACTTACTACAAAAAAGATTCATAGGACGATATCCTACACAAAATCACCTTGACCAAAATTACGTGACATCAATATAATCAGACCTATTCTGATTTTGAATAGATCAAATATTTTATCTTGACTATTTAAACTGAGGTTATTTTTAATTTACCTATTTTCTGAAGTAACAACTTAAATTAAATTACGCAACATATTAGTGATTCGACTTCCTACGTATCTAGATGTCATAATTATGTCATTATTTTATTAATTATTTGACTTATTGTAATATTAATTACAAAATTGATCAGTTCATAAAGTTCCTTATACAATAATCTTTTCCATTCAGATAAAAGGGGTTTGTTTTGCTACTATTAATATTATAATAAAGTAGGCATGTAATCACAATTGATTGATCACTGGGTGGTGATCAATGTCATGTGTGTCTAGTCCTTATTAGTGCAGATCGAATGCTATCGACCATGTTGCAATGTGGTCACCAGTCTAGGTGACTCGTGACAACCCAAACAGTACAGCTCAACCCCGTTTAGCAGGAGAACCAGACACCGTATAGGCATTAACGCTACAATCTGAATAGTACAGCTCAGTCCTGTGGCGCAACCACACAGGTACCAAGCACCCTGGTGGACCAGGGCCAGGAGGTCGGTCGCGGCCCGGATAGCTCAGTGGTAACGTCTCTGACTGTGAAGCTGGGTGACACAGGATCGGGGAGCACTAGTTTCTTCGAGATTTCAAGTACACCTTGCTGACGAGTGCCAAGTAGCCCGAAACCCGGGTCCAGGGTTTCCTGTCGACTACCTCCAACCACCAAATAAAGTAGGCACGTTTTATGATATAAATTTCACTTATATGGGATCTAACTAGAAATAAAACATTTTAAAGTGTCAATAAATTTTATTGTTACTTAATGGCTTACGGATGGTTTTAGATACCAAAGCATGAAAACATTTATGAAAATAACTTTGTAGAAGCTAAATTTTTTGTTTCTTAAAATAAGCGTGATGTTCGATGTGTTTAAAGTTTCAAGAATGCCTTTAATCGGTAATTAAATGAAGTCCATATTATTCAATAATTTATTAGAAGTAGTTAATCTTGAGGTGTATTTAAACTTATAGGAAGCATAGATAGCTTTGAGCTTTGGTATATATATATTACTGATTATTATTATCAATATAAGCATTAAATAGGCTATAGTACGCTAAATAATATCAACATTTATCTCTACACATTCACGTTAACAAGTACATTGTAGACCTAATTGATTAAATCTCTTCACTAACAAATACATATTTTGAGACTGATTATTCTCCTACATATGTGTATCAGTAACTATTTCCATGTATCACCAAACACAATAAGTAAAAATAAACGTTTCTACAAAGAATCAATTTATTTCTTGAGTTTCTGTTGATCTACTACATTGTTTATCACTAACATAACGTGTTTATTTATCGGGACTGGATTGACAGTGATATCAGGAAAGCTATAAACTTAATTTATAAATTCCTACTAGCGAAAAAAAACAAAGCAGATATAGTGGTGATTCACCATATTAACCGGTAGAATAAATTTTAAAAGACAGAATTATTAGAACAAACATTCACTGTATTTTTGATACATAATTTATGACTTTGTAATCACTAAGAGAATACTAAAAAAAAGGAATCAAAATCCCAAAATAACCAACAACTATTCTCTTCTGTTAGTTAGTCAATAGTGATAATAATATCTTTCTTATTATGCCGAATGAATACAAGAAATATGATGACTGATTTTCAATCTATTCATTAATAAACAGAGTAGTTAAATGAATATTAAGCAGAAAATCTGATACTTGAGGAGGTAATTTTTCGATTTAACCTTAAACATCACAAATGAAATGTATGAATTTGTTGTAATTTGCCATTGGAAACACTTGAGATACCAGGAAAACAAACAAATCAAATGATAAACAATAGTATAAACATGAAGACAAAAAAAATAGGAAACCATTAAAAGTAATCAAGCTTTGTTTAAATAAATAAACGGAAATATGTATATATATATATAGTGCACAAATTGAACTTGAATATGTTTATCAACGTCCTTCCATAAAATTTTTAAATTCCAAAAAATCGATATAACCACTATTGTCTGTATCACAATAAGCAAATATTTTTTTAATATCACTTGCAGTAAATTTACCGCCATTAGTTAACATGAATTTTTTAAATTCTTTTTTATTTATTCGTCCATCATGATTTTTATCGACTGTTTTAAAAACTTCTGACCAAAATGAATCACTAAATTATATTAAAAAAACAACAACAACAATAAACAAACAAACGAAAAACATGATCTAGAAGTTAAAAATGTATAAATTTACATTGAAATCATGAACGGACGAAAGTTATTTGAGAACCTGGAGATATTGGATGGTCGTTTCGTCCTAGCATGTGACTTCATAACAGGGCCTAACTATGACTTCGTAAGCGGGAATCAAACCCGAGACCTTTGAGCTCGCATGCAAGCGCTGAACCTCTAGACCATTGTAGCTGTATCTAACGGTTTACAAGTCTAGCTTCAATCAGTCAACGACACGAAATTACATGAAAATGATAGAAATCTCATTAAAATCTACCATGATAATCTATTTATTACTTTCGCTTTTAAATATTCCCTCATTTCTATCACTATAGTAGTTAATCCTACTCACTGTTTAGCACGTCACCATTTAGTGTCATGCGTAATATCTACAGTAATATTACACGTCGAAAATTTCATCATATACCTAGAAACGCTAATATTTAATAATATTATTTATATTAAATATGTTAAGATTGATATGAATATATATATATATATATATATATATATATATATATGAAATATTTCCATGAAGTCGAAGTACTTTGAAGTGAACCACATTCACCGGCTTTAATGTTTGTACAACATAGAATGAACGATTTACGGATACTTGAACAGAGTGAAAAACCATTGAAAGTCGCAAAATGTGTCGGTGAATTTTAACGTTTAGACTTATGATCATAGTTATTGATTAGTGTTTGATTAATTTTTATTAAGAGCCAATATTAGTTAGGTAAATTATTGTAAAAAAACCTTCATACAACTCTAATAATTTTTTTCCGCTTCACGATCATAAATTGGAACACAAAGTATTATTCTGACAGCTTTTCCATAAATCTCTCTCGTTTATATATAAATTTATATAGTACCGAAAGTTAGAATAAATGGCCACATATTGTGAATGGTTTGACTGCAGACATAGTACAGCTATAGTCATCAAGTTATGTTGCTTCAATTTAATGAAAACACTTGGAGCTTCACTATATCAAGAGTTGAATTAGGGATCACTGGGTTTTAACACAGTTTTTGAGTTGAACCTCATAAATGTAATGTTATATGTCTACAATGTAAAACAGGAATCCTATACTATAAAAATACAATGATTTATTGCGAATTCATATATGAGTACTTCTGATGGATCTCATATTAGGATAAAACAGATTATGTTGATCTGTAATTACAATAGTATTAATGGTTTTATGGTTTTTGAAAATTTCCATTCTAGACAACCGTTTGTGGTAGAGACTAACTTAAAATCTATTTATCTTAACCAAGCATGACATATTAATCAAAATACTTATAAAGGTATCATTATTACTATTTACAATTATCCCATTTAAACTTGAAACAGGTTATCATTAAAACTACAGTTGGTTTGTTGTGTATATTTGAATAATACTGGGATAGAATCAGTTTTCTGCATGAAGTTTTGAAATTAATAATTGAATAAGTTTATAATTAACTTACTTAAACTTAATATCACAATTCATGATTGTTTGTTGTTCACCTATATACATGAAGATTTTTATGAATGATAATTTAAATAAATATAAGGGATTTTATTGTTATAAAACAGGATATAAAAATTAATAATGTCAAATTATTCAATTTTTTCCCCACTGTCTATCGATTTATGTCAACTCAGCTTACAAATAAGACTATCAATATAGTTAGTTAAGCATCATAATTCGTTCAAAAGAAACTCACATTTTAAGCTATAAGGTTGTTGGCCGTCATTAGAAAAATTCATTTGAAACTATGAAGGACCCGGTAAATTGTTCCCTTCCCCTTCCCTCTAATATCATAATCAAAGAAGTCATTCATATTCTATTTGAATCATAACGAACTTCCAAATGAATAGTTGTGGTTTGTAAAATGTGTTATGTCATATTGATCAGTTTTTACTGTTAATAATATAATTTAACACACGATTTCTTTCAACTACGTAATAAATGGTATTACTCATTGAAGTTACTGATCAACCTCCATTTTAATCATACCATTAAATCACTTATGCACAAAGAATTTTATTTAACGCCAGCTATTTAAATAAATGATTTTATATATTTGAAAAACAAGGAATATTTTGAGAGAAGAATTATGCACAATAATTCAAACCATAATAAGGCATATACAAATAAGTGAATTAGACAATGTTATATATAGAAATAGCAAACGTTTGTATAGATTAACGCTTAGATACATCCAGATTATATCGTTTGTAAATCTTATACATTGAAAGATTCATATTTTGCATTTACTCTACAATAAGTTATGTATTTCCTGTATAATTTAGTACTCAGAAGTACGTTTAGTAAACAGTATACTATACACATTTAATAGTTAGCATCATTGTAATGAATAAAATTTTTTATTATATTAATCTGAATTAAAAATGGGTTGAGTGTGTAACTAATAACATTATCATTAAAGTCCTATTACCCTTGAAAAAATTCTGCTAATTCGTGAATGAATCTAACATGACTAAACTGTTACGAAAATAATATGTTTTTTTGATAGCAGTAGAAGTAGACTTCTACCTAAATTCGTTCAGAAGAACAATGAAAGCTACACTATCAAAACCATCCAGCTCAGTGAACAAAACTTCATCATAATCATTCACCTGAGCTACAAATCTTCTTCATCATCTCGAGAATAACATGTTCATACAAGCAAACAGAGAGAAGATTGAACTTTATAAATAAGAATTCTTTTTATTCAGAAAATAATAATTTAATGAATACACAATTGATGTATAAGATGACATGTTTTCTAAGAGAAATTATATACATTTTGTGCAATCTTTGTTTCTGTTACATTTTTTATTGTTCATTCGATGATTAATGTTTCCATTGTAATCTAATAAGCTTAAGAAATATTTAGCATTATAAAAGATAGTGTATACAACAGCTGGATCATTTTTCTATGATAGGTGGAATTTTCTCATCAAAAACCGGTTAGTAATAAATATATATGAATCGATAAGTAATATTTGAATGATAATTTGACATCATCTTTCCAAAGATAAAAATGAAAGTCAATACTCCTTAACAAATTCCAATTTCTTAGTTGAACATCAAATAACCAATTTTATATCACCTATCAACATCGAATGATGAATCTTATTATCTTTTTTGTTAAAAATAAATATCACTTAAACTTACTTGATAATTGAATCTCACGTACAGAACTCATCTCGTTAAATAATAAACGATTATGAACTAACATGAATTAAGAAATCATTTTTATACCATTTTCTGGTTAATCTGTCTGTTAGTAAATAGACGTCGATGTCTATATGTAAGTACGTACACGCAATTGTGTATCACTGTGTAAACAAGTATCGTGATTCTGTTATTGAATAAACAATACTTTAAAAATAACATCAAATACACTGCCCTTATTAACTAAGTTACAAAATATTTATATTCTTAATCATATTGTTCTAACATCATTTAGTGATTATGACTTTGTTTTTCTTTTAAATGACTGGAAGCAGATGGTAGAAGAGTCGACATTAATATATAGTGATTGACTTCTAGAGATCCAAGTATAACAGTCATATTTATATTATTTATTATTCAAGTTCAAAACTGAATGTTAAATTTATTTGACTAATTGACTTAATGTAAATGTAAGTGTAATAGACAGAAAAAATCACAATAAGGCGGTAATATATCTATCTGTCTAAAGCGTTATAGAACAAGAGAGCTTAGATAAAGATGAATTCTTGGAACTGTATGCTTTAGTTGTAAAAATTTTATTTTTATCCAGATAACAGTAAGAAACATAGACTTGAAATTAGAAACAATGGGGAGAAACTAGATAGAGTAGGACAAGTACTTCAGTCTAGTTTGAAATCCTTTAACAATACACGACCTTGACATCACTTAAATTAAAGTTTGAAGGATAGTAGTATATTAAATATATATATGTTACAGATTTTCAGCTCCAGGTTAATTATGGAATTATGAAATAGTAAAGGAGAAAGTAGATAAGAATATGTACGACAATGTAGTTATATTACAACAAATATAGAATGATCATGATAAAAACTTAAAAATATTTCTAGTATTTGTTGGAGAGAAACGTAAGTATATTGATAGTTAAACAAGAGATTACAATTTGTGTTGAATGTCGATTATAATATTGTATTATTTAAAATGGTTGAAAGTGATCAATGAGAAACCTGAGACCTAGATTTCATACTAACTGAAGATCGTCAATGAGTTTTCAGCGATAACATAATTGATATTTATCATGGGATTTAAACTAATCTGATCCAGTGTTTTAAGAATTAATATCATACATACGTTCAGTTTTGCCGACTTTTCGGGATCTGCTCACTATATATATATATATATATATATATATATATATATATATATATAATACACTGATAAATGAAAGATGCTCTAGATGTTTGGCTACGATTTTAATTAATATAAATAGTGATGAAGTGTTATTTTGTATTTTACTACTTATTTTTAAATCGACTGTACCTGTAATGAATGACCAGTTAGACCTATAAGTAGAGATCTTCATTTTGAGATATTTATAGGTTACAGATTAATTTTAAAGATATTTTTGGTTACACCTTGATTTTGTCTGACAAACCAATGAAAACCGAAAATCAAAAATAAACTAAACACCAAACATTTGTAGGTATCAAGGTTTGATTTAATAATTACTAATAAATTGAGCAAGTCTCTAGTGAGCATATACTGATTAATATCAGATGGGGTTTTGTGGATATTATAGTAATTTCAATGGTTAAGATCATGAGTCATGAGGTTCACGATGTTTATACCGGAGTTCTGGTGAGAAGTAGTGACTAGTAGAGTTCAACCTGGTCTGTTGTGAAATAGTAACTCACTGAAGACAATGGTGGATGTATCGCTCAATTTCGTGAATTAGTTGAAGTTAGACACTAACACCGTTGGATGCAGGCCGGCTCAGTGGCCTAGTGGTTAAGTGCTCGTATGCGAAACCAGTAGGTCCTGGGTTGGAGATTCGCAGGGGACGAGGTCGTGGATGCGTACTGCTGAGGAGTCCCATAACAGGATAAAACGGCGGTCCAGTGCTTCCAAGTTTCCCATGGTGGTCTAGCTTCAACTGACTCATGATCTTAACCATTGAAATTACTATAATATCAAGAAAACCCATTTGATATTTGAAACTTTGGACTACGTTTTTGTAACTCACGAATCTAAACGTAACATGCTCATTACAAAACATGACAGCACTAGATTCAATCGCGGAAAAAGTCGTGGGTGCACATAAATGTTTCTTATTCAGTTATGAAAATGATTTGAACCTATTCATCATATTTTTACTGTACCGTAGTAAGTAATTATCTCAAACTGAAGAAATAAAATTGTCCTACTATGTAGATTGATCTTTTAATTACAGGTAAGAATAAACTTTCAATATTTTAAAACTGTGTTGAGATGATTATTTGTGGGACTTGAAGTCAATCTCCATTATTTAAAAGATAAAATAAAGGAAAGTGAAAAGCGGAGAATGCAGTAACATTCCTTCGTTCTGGATTAGAATCTGTCGGAGGTATTTAATGATAGAACTCATAAAATTCAAAACTACAATATTTTTGCATTATAATAGGTACACCATTGTTGATTGATTTGGTCAGAAATAATTTTTAATATCATATCCTAGTTCTACAATATTAGTAACAACCACTGAAAAACTACAAACACTGGACGCGCGTTTCTGCCTACTGTGGGGCTCCTCAGCGGTATTCATTCATGAGGTATGAAGAATAAACCGAATGATTGAACAAATAAAATAGTCATAAGCAAACACTGATCAGTTAAAAACACTTGACATTTGGTTTTTTCTAAATTCTTCCATTCGAAAATGTGATGTTATAAATGGGGATCTACATATCAAAATCACACTATGCTTGTCGAAATATTTGGTTGACTTTAAATAAAAATATTTTGAAAACGTTTCTAGTCACATATCTATTTTAAGCTTGGAAGTATTTTTCATCGTAAACAGACTTGGGGTGGAAAATCACTGACAACTAGTAAGAAAGGAAAAGCTATTTTATCTTAGTTTGAAAGTCTTCTGGAATCCTCGCTCCAAGCTTCCACAAAATTACGACTACTCTATTCGGATCTTGCGACGAACAATTTAGCACTTAGCTGAAGAGTCGATCATATGTCCAAATCTCTATCAGTTTGTTAGAAATGTAAATTCTCATTCAGTGTCATTTTTGAGTTACTGTCTTATTTTTGACTTGCATTAACCATATCTATATATATCGAGAGAGAGAGAGTGAATGAGTAAAACTTGAGGCTGGGTAGCTAGTTGGTTGAACAGCCACTATCAACGTCATACATGAAATCTGAAGTGTTTAATGAAATCTATTACGTAATTTTTCTGTATGGTGATTAAAATTTACTGATGTTGAAATGTTGTAGATATCGTAATATTTTGAATCAAACTCCTCTTTTTTCGAATGGGTTACTATAAATGAAAGCAAAATTGCAAGATTTCAGTCGACAGTTTGTTTCTTTATTGATAACTGAAATCAAAAGTCAGACAACTTCATTTAGAGAAAAGTCATTTTTAAATATTTTTACCTGGTCGTATTAAGAATTCATGAAAGTCTACCCGTCTCAACCACTATATGTCTGATTATCGGTGTTAATGTCTAACTTTAATCTACAATTCACACTAATTTGAAATTTATAAATCAAATTCAAATAAAGCACTGAACAGAATACTAAATAACAAAGTTAACTAAAGATGGTGATGTACCTCCATATGAAGCAACATAAGCGGGTGCAAAAACGAAAATTTTCCAGGAGAGGAAGGTAAATTGCCATGTAGGCTAAAAAGAATGTTATGTTGTTACAAGGTCTCGTAGTAAGTAAGAAATAAAAGCGTAGGTGGGATGTTACGAGTAAACGAACTATTCACGTTTTTGAGATTATCCCTAATATTTTTATCTCGAACAACTCGGTAGTAAATATTTAGGCATTAGCTGTGCATATTACAATTCAGCTCTACTAATAAAGCTTCTACACAGGCTCAGCCCTCTCTTTTAGGACATCAGGGTGATAAAGCGTCTTCAAAAGTAAATTATTGATCGAGACCTCAGAGCATAACAGTTATTAATCATACACTGTGAAAAAAGAATCAACTAAATGTACAGAACATTTATTTAATGTTCAATTGGATACTAGTGAAGACAATTTATTTTGTGTTATATGATGACAGTTTTTTATACCTTTCGGTGAAGTAAGGAGCTCAATTATGATTAAGATTTGTCAACATTAACACTTATGCACATAATAAATGTTATTCTACATTCAATAATATGTTTTGAAATTATGGAGCTTCATTCATTAACAAAAAATAGTAGTTCTCAGCATGAGGGTGCGAAAATTGTTGAATTTATGAACTAATTAAAGTGTACCAACCAGTAAAACACTATAAACACTAGACGCGTGTTTCTTTCTAGTGTGAGACTCCTCAACAATATCCATCCACGAACTCGCAAGCGGGAATCAAACTCAAGATCTTCAGTCGCACAATGAAACGGCCTTCCGGTGTTTTTAGGTGTTCAATCATTATCTAACTTATATCAGTTCATGATTTCATAAAAAAGATAATAATGATTGTCTTAGAATCATTATGAAGTAATATTTATAGTAGCTTAATAACTAAATATACCTTCGTACACTTGGTTTTCAGTCAGATTTACTCTGTTATGATTAATGATAAAATTTAGCCAGACAAACTGTGATAGATAAAACAGGGCTGAAACATATTGGTTTAAACCCTATTACTTAAATTACTAAGGCACATTTTTCTCAAAAGATTTGAAGTCAGTGATGAAATATATCACTTAACTGTCAGCATATATTAAAGAATGAAATAAAGTGATTAATTTCAATGTATGAATGCTGGTCGGCAACCTATGCTCCATTGGAAGTAACAGGTGTAAGTAAGTACAGTAATTTTTTCCTTAGATTTTAACACTGTAAAATAAATAATAATACATGGATTTTATTTAAATTAATTTAAACAAAACATTGTCTTTCATTATATAAAGTTTAAAAACGACAATTACATTGCATATATTATATATGGCAAATACAAATCTCACTTGTTGAAATCATGAGTCAATTGAAGCTAGTTGGTTAAGTGCCTGGCGCGAGACTTATAAGTCCTGGGTTCGAATCCCGCGGGTCGCGGGATCGTGGCTGCGCACTGCTGAAGAGTCTTATACCAGGACGAAACGGCCGTCCAGTGCTTCCAGGTTTTCCATGGTGGTCTAGCTTCAATCGACTAATGATTTCAAAAAGTGAAATTTCTAAAAATCTCCACAAAACCCATTCTGATAAAAATACAAATCTATTAATAATATGGTAGTCATGGATTCAAATACACAAGGAAAATATTTAAAATAATAGAAATATTATTTATAAAGTATATAAAACAATCTTATTGACATATCTTCAATTGCATGTAATACACATTTCATTTATTCTGTTAAACTTATAAAGTTTTAGAAAGTTTATAATAACTACATTTTATATAATGACACCATAAAGTCATTCTAGGTTGTTGGGATTTTTGTTTTGTTTTTCTTCATAAGATCATTTGAGTG